GACGCACACAGTGCTGGAACGTGCCTCAAGCTGGAGCGAAGCCCCTGGAGGGGCCGAGAGGAGCAGCGGCGTTGGGTGACCTGCCTGTCCAGATGCCAATGTCCATCTCTTTCACAATTCTTATTTTGCAGTTGTCCCCACAATTCAGGAACTTAAATCCAGCGGTGTGATGCTTGGAGGGAACGGCCTGATCCGGTGCGAAGGTGCAGGAGTGCCTGCCCCGGACTTTGTGTGGTACAAAGGAGAGAGGAAGTAAGTAGCCCCTGCTCGCCCACCCCGCGTGTGCCAGGGCTGCTGCCAGGCTGGGGCTGCCCCGGGGGCCCATTCCAGAACCTTCCCAGCAGCAGAAGCAGTGCTTGGAGCTTGTACCAGTGTGCCTGGTACACACTGCTTGGGGCTGCTGGAGCTGCCCCGCGGCTCCTGTTGGGGCACAGGGGAAATGGCACAGCCCGACATCCAAAGGAGCTGCAGGAGCTCCAGAAAAGCACTGGGAGAAGCTGCAAAGAGGATTTCTGTTTAATTTGCCTTCCTCACCTTTGAGAGCAAGGCTTTGAGGCAGGGTGAGTGGTGCCCTGGTTGTGCTCCCTGGTGTGAGCCCTGCAGGTCGCTGCAGCCAGGGGGTCAGGGGAGCTCTGAACCCTGAAGCCTGCCCTGTATTCTGGGTTTGTGGGGCCCTTGTGGGTCAGCAGCAGCACCTCTGCAGAGCCCCTTTGTTCCCAAGGCAGCTCATTAAACAGGGAGGTGCTGGCTTTCCAGCAGGACATTTTACAGCTCTGGGCCTTTGCAGGAGCTCGTTTCTCTTGGGCTCACAGGCTGCAGAGGCAGGTGGATATTGTCCCTTGGAGCTGGGGAGCTTCAGGAATTTCCCAGCCTCCAAGCGCTGGGTTTGTCAGCTTGAACATCCCGTTAAACCTGGAGCTGGCAGGAGAATATTAATGACCCTTTTTCACAGAAAGCCATCTGTCAGCTCCCTCCTCAGCTGCTCCCCTCCTGCAGCACGAGCTGCTGTCCTCCTCCCTCTGCTGAGCCATGGCATCCCACCGTGTCCTGCAGCTCCTCTGCAGCTGATCTTCCCTGTAAGGACAGGAGTGTTTCTCTGTGCTGGCGAGATCCATCTGCACCCCATTTCCGTGGCTGTGCTGCTGTGCCCATCCCAGGGCCACTGCAGCACAAACACCCTTTCTGAGGGAATATTTCAGAGCAGGTTTGGGCACTCCAGGTTCAGTTAGCAGCTCCCAGCATGCTGATCACCTCTCTGTTTGTAGCTCTGCCCTGCTGAGCTCATCCATGGCAGCAGCAGGAGAGGCTGAGCAGAGCATTTCAGGACAGTCAGGCTGTGCCTCTGCTCCTGTGCTGGTGGAGTTTCACCTCTGCAGGAAAGCTCTGTGCTGCTGGCTCCTGCTGCTCAAATATTGGGTTCAATCTAGTGCTCCATCCTTTCAGGAACAGAGCTCTGGGGATCCTCGGGGTCCCTTCCAGCTCAGGGCGTCCTGTGAGCTCCTGCTGGGGATCTCTGAGCCCCATCCCTTGCAGGAAAGGGGAAAACACCCACTGTCACTGTAGGACACAAAAAACCACAAGTGCACACCGCTGCTCTCAAGGTAAAAAAGGGGAGTGTATTTTCTGACTCCAACATTTATGGATTTCCAAAAGTGACAGTGGGTTGGAGGGTGACAGTGCCACCTCTCCAATGACACTGCGCAAACCAACAGTCCGTCAAAATTCTCCTCCTCCATAAAGGAATGCAAAACAATGAGTTATTTACAGAAAGTGTGTGAGAAAGTTCACTGCCAGAATGTCAACATCAGAAGGCTTAGAAAATCTTAAAAACCCAGGGTGACAACCCAGAGGTGGTTTTTTGCTGGTTTTGGATCCAGTGTCTCCCTCTGCCTCTGGATGATGGGCACTGGCCAGCTCAGGATGGACCTTGGCTAGCCCAGGGTGAGCCATGGCCAGCTCAGGCACTGCTCTGGTGCAGAGCTGAGAAGGCTCAGCTCTCAGAGAGCATCTCCATTACCCTGCAGATAATTTCCAACTGTGCTCCACAGCTGAATTTGCTCCCTGGGAGTGCACACCCTGCTGGATTCCCGGCTAACACAATAGAGAGGATCCCATTCTTGTCAGATACTCTTGGGCTGGGATTCCTCTTTGTTAGAAATCGGGATGGATTGTTCAATAAATTAGCAGTGGGAGTTAGCCCTGCAATCATAAGTGTGTGTGCAGTGCCTGAAACAAGGCTTTTGGGGGTGGAAATTGCATTGTTGTTACTGAGATTGATGTGAATCCAAAAGCACCATTCCCAGGCTCCAGGGATCACCTCATCATAAAATACCCATTAAAGCTAAACACAGAGGCAGTAACAGACTGCACTGAGTTAAAGTTATTGCTCTTTGAGGCAGGGAGGGCTGGTTCTGCTAATCACTGCCTTCCCAGGAGCTCTGTTCAGCAAATTCCCACAGGAGCTGGTGCACAGGGTGGGGAGAGCTGGAGAAAATTTGGGGGAGAAGTTAATAAATCATCTCAAAACTGTCCTAGAAGCATCACATGGTTGGGTTGGGGGGGATCTTGAAGTTGATTCCATCCAACCCCCTGCCATGGGCATGGGCACCTTCCTCTGTGCCAGGGGGCTCCAGGGTGGATCAAGGGGCCCTTCCAGGGATGGGTGTCAGGAATGTGTGTGCCTTTGGAGATTATTGGAGATTCCCTGTGCAGAGCTACCATGGCTTCACTGTGCCAGCTCTGAACCCAGGCCGTGTGCTGGGCTTACAGGAATTAGAGCTCAGACATTAAACAGCCACAGGGAAGAAGCCCAGAAGTCACCTAAATGAAATATTAAAGTATTCATTCCCTTTTCCCTCTCAAAGCAAACAAGGCTTACATGTGGAATGGCAAAGCTCATTATCATGGTTCCATCAATTAGAGCACAGTGCAGGTGCTCTGGGATGGAGGCAGAGGCAGGGCCTGGGGCTGGCACTGGGGGAGCTGGGGATGCCAGGGAGCCATCCTGCAGTGAGGAGGGGCTGGCACTGCCCTGGGTGCACAGAGCAGGGGGAAGGGGCGTGCAGGGTGGCTGCACACACCCAGAGGGCTGTTGTGCACACTTAGAACACTGTTGTGCACACTAAGAACTCTGTTGTGCACACCCAGGGTGCTGTTGTACACCCCCAGAACTCTGTTGTGCACACCCCAGGATGCTGTTGCACACTCCTCAGGATGCTGTTGCAGCCTGGCAGTCACTGGGTGAGGCCCAGCAATAAATGATTACATAATAAACGCTTATATAATAAATGATTATACAATAAATGATAAATGTGAGCTCAGTGCTGAGCGCGGCCAAGCCTTGCACAGAGCAGCAAATTCTCCAGGAACAGTTCCTGCTCCTGCAGCTGCACACAGACACCCCTGGCCAGCTCCTGCTCTGGGAATTGTGTTCTCATCCATCTGCACCCCTGCCCAGCCCTGTTTGCTTTAGGATCCCAGCCCTGGGCCCCCAGTGCCAGCCCCGTGCCAGCTGGGCTGCAGGGACACAGCAGGCAGGCACTGTCACTTGTTTGAGGCAGATGTCACCCGGGACAGGGCATGGTGACAGCCCAAAGATCCCCAAAGATGTCACCTGGCACAGGGCATGGTGACAGCCCAAAGATCCCCAAAGATGTCACCTGGCACAGGGCATGGTGACAGCAAAGACCCCAGAGATGTCACCTGGACAGGGCAGGGTGACAGCCCAAAGATGTCACCTGGGACAGGGCATGGTGACAGCAAAGACCCCAAAGATGTCACCTGGAACAGGGCATGGTGACAGCCCAAAGTCCCCAAAGATGTCACCTGGACAGGGAATGGTGACAGCCCAAAGATGTCACCTGGATAGGGCATGGTGACAGCCCAAAGTCCCCAAAGATGTCACCTGGGACAGGACATGGTGATGGCAAAGAGGCTCTGCAATCCCATTTCTCTGTGTTTCATGCCCATGGGTGTGGCACGGCCTCTCCCCAGCCCTGGGCTGGAGGAACAGGGTCCTTCACAGCAGCACCAGCTGCCCAGGGAGCAGAAATCCCGTGAGAGCAGCACCTGCAGGGCCCTGATGGAACAGAGGCACCCCACGGCAATGAGCAGTGCTCACTCCACATTCAGCAATGTTCACCTCCACAAGTGCAATTAATGGCAGATTTGCCAAGGTTTGCAGACAGAATGGTGGGAGATGGCACTAATTCCCAGGATATATGATTATATCCTTCAATATAGCCGACAAAAATTGCATTCTTAATCCAAAACTCCGCTCCGTATGGGAAATGGAAGGAATTATGAGTAATAACTGTGGCGAGTTTTTAATAACACGGTTCCCCTTCTCGTCTCCTTGTTTGATCAGACGTGGTTTGCCTAGGACAACATCATTAAATGGGTTCTCCTGCTTTGTCCTGGTGCCCAGCAATGCTCCTGGCACTGCTTTGGGAGCACTATCCACACACCTGCATTTTCCCTGTGAATTTGGGGTGGGCAGCTCCAAGCTGGGTGAGAAGAGCCCTGATTTGGCTTTTTTCTCTGCTTCATTACCTGCTGCTGCCCAGGCTGCTGCCTCAGCAGTGCTGCTGGAGCGTTTTGTCCCTAATTGCAAGGCTCATTTGCAGCTGTGGAGCCCCATAAACAAAACCACGGGCACAGTCCTGGCTCCTAATCCTCCCCTGCCACCAGCCAGAGCTGTGACAGCACACAGCAAACTCCAGGGGCTGAAAAGACCCCCTTGAAATGACTCTCTTAGAAAGGCTTACCAGGACCCCTTTCTGCCCCAGGGGGGTATTTCAATTCCCAGTTGGCATTGCCCACTTAAAAACCCAAGCTGTGCATGCAGGGGTTTGTGTCCGTGCTCCTGCAGGCAGGAAGGGCTGTGGGTGTTTATTTTCTCTCAGCTGCAGGACATTGAGGCAGCACTGTTCCCCTCAGCACCCCAGCCCCAGGGCTCCCCAAAGTGCCAGGGATTGTGCTCAGCACAGCTCACAAAGAGCTCACCGTGCTCCCAGGGCTGTCTGTAAAACCAGGAAAGAAAAGAGAGCTGTGAATAAAAAAAATAAATAAAATAAATCTCGGTTGTGGTATATGAGTTATAGACATTTTCTTTTTGCTTTCTAGACTGATCAATGGTCAACAAGGAATCACTATTAAAAATTATAGTACAAGATCCCTTCTTACTGTTACCAATGTGACAGAAGAGCACTTTGGCAACTATACATGTGTCGCTGCCAACAAGCTAGGGACGACCAATGCCAGCCTGCCTCTCAACCGTAAGTAACGGGGACGTGGGGCCAGAGCTCTGCTTGCTTCCTGCCAGCCCCGAGGGTCCCACAGCCACAGGAGCAGAGTGTTTGTTCCCCCTGAGCACCTGGAGATGCCCCTGTGCCCGTCGGGGCTCGGTGTGCCGCGAGATCTGAGCGTGGGGTCTGAGCGTAGGGTCTGTAATTGGGGTCTGTGCTGTGTTTTGGGGCATCGGAGGCTGTGGCAGCAATCCCAACTAACCCTCCCTGCTGTGGTGGTGCACAATGGGCACAGGCACAGCTTCCTGTGATCCTGCGATCCTGTGATCCTGCGATCCTGTGATCCTGTGATTCTGCAATTCTGCTATTCTGTGATCCTGCGATCCTGTGATTCTGTGATCCTGTGATTTTGTGATCCTGTGATTCTGCAATTCTGGTATTCTGTGATTCTGTGATCCTGCAATCCTGTGATCCTGTGATCCTGTGATTCTGTGATTCTGTGATTCTGCGATTCTGTGGATCTGTGATCCTGCTATTCTGTGATCCTGTGATCCCGTGATTCTGTGATTCTGTGTCTGTGGTTCCTGCTCCCAGCAGCAGCCCCAAGTCCCTACAGGGGCACTGCCAACATGGACAGAGATTTCCCAGCACATTCCCAGGAGCAGCCTGAGCTGCAGAGCTGGGCTGTGCCAGGGCTCTGTCGCACCTGGCTCTGGCAGTGGGTGCAGAGGCACAATGGGCACAGGCACAGCTTCCTGTGATCCTGTGATTCTGTGATCCTGTGATCCTGCAATCCTGTGATTCGGTGATTCTGTGGTTCTGTGATTCCCAGGGGCAGCCTGAGCTGCAGAGCTGGGCTGTGCCAGGGCTCTGTCCCACCTGGCTCTGGCAGTGGGTGCAGGGCAGAGCAGTCTCTTGGAGAAGACAATGAGCAGTGTGAGAGGTGATGGATGCTCGGTGTGGAGGTTGCCCCAAAGGGCCCCCAGGTGCTGTTGGGGAGGGATTTTTAGCTGTGCCTTGGTGGCATTTCAGTGCTGCTGGATCCAAAGGTGTTTGTGGTGCAGCTCTGGTGCTGCTCTGTTGTTCTGATGGTGATAAAAGAGAGACAAAACTCCTACACTTAAATATATTCCTCACCGTGTGGAAATGCAGAGTTTCAGTTGCTCAAATCCCACAATTATTGCCTTCCTTCCATGAAATTTCCTCCTGAACCTGCTCTCCATATGATGAGTGTTGTCAGAGGTTCTGAATTCCTGCAGGAGAGATGTAACAGGCACAAAATAACAGGGAGCCTTTGCTGCCATTTATTTAATATTTGAGGGATCATTACCAAAGCGGGAACGACATTACACTTATTTTAAACAGAAAATGTGAGTGAAAACAAAGGAATATTAAGGCAGAAGGAGCTGGAATTTGGTGTATTTGCAATTCAGAGCAGGTAGAGGGAAGGTCTGGCTTCATTTGAACAGAGCAGAGCTGAATCTGTCTCTGAGCTGCTGCCAGGGTTTTTTCCATCTTAAATTGTAAGGTGCCTTGTAGCCACCCTTACAAAGCACTTTGAGAGGCAGAGGTTGAAAATGTCACAGAAGTGCCAAGTGCACCGGTACAAATCATAAAAATAGATGTTCTCCATCATGAAAGAAAGGGGAGGTGGGAAGCAGAATGGTCTGAGAGAAAATTCTGGAAATCTGGGTCTGCTCCTGACCTCGGGAGGGAAATGGGGGTGTGTTGGCTCAGAGGTCTGACTCAAAGAGCAAGCTGAAATGTCTTATTTTATATTGTGATTGCTTTAATCCAGCTCTCCAAGCAAGGAGAGCTGTCCTAAAGGTGGTGATCTGGATCTTGGTTGGGCGTGAGGATCATTTGGTGAAGTGTTTCCTTTGTTTATAATTTACATTACTATTATCTAGAAGCATTATCCCTTTAAAAAAACTACAAAAAAAAAGTAACAATAATTCTCAGGACTTAGCAACTCGCTAAGCGTGGACTCCTCAATCCCGGAGCGAGAATGCTGCGCTGTGAAACTCTTGCATTTCATTTAGCTGGCAGGGAGAGTGGCCATATGTGCAGGTTCAGGTGTGTGTGAGGGAGCTCTGCCCGCCCGCCTGCAGCGCTCAGGGACCAAATGTGGGCTCAGGAAAGCTCCATTTGCTGCTGGGGAGTAGCAAATGGAATAGAACTGGTGCCCCATTGCAGGGCCTGGGGCTGCTCTGGGGTCACACAGTCTGAGTGAGGTTCTTTACAAAACCTGGCAGCCCACAGGTTTGTGCATCCTTGTCCTTCCCTAACAGATTCTGCCAGAGAAATTGCTTTTTCCATGGCCGGTTCTGTGATCCAGAGGTGTTCCTGATGTCCAGGTTCACACAGAATCCTTGGATATGCTGCCAGTACCTATGAAAAAATGTAAATAATTGTGAGAAGCTGCCCAAGAGGTCAGGAGTGACGTTGGGAAGGAGAAGCAGAGGGATGTGGTGGTATTTTTTGTGCTGATTCCATCACACAAGGAGTTGGGAAGGAGGAGCCTTGTGAGAGGATGTGGTGGTGCTTTCTGTGCTGATTCCATCACACAAGGACTCCGCTGAGCCAGCAGTTGCCTGTGCCCTCCTGGCTGGTGGCACACGTGTGGAATCTTGTCTCCACACTGCAGAGGCACCAGATGCTTGCCTCGTGAGCTGGCATGAGGAGGAGAGCTCTCGGGGTTTCTGTCAGAGTCTCTCTTTCCCAGCCTGAGACTGAAAAAGGAGTCAGGATTCTCTGGCTGTGGTTTTCAAGGTTGTTTATTCTCTGTTACCTATAACAATCTTTCTCTGACCTGCTGAAGTCTGTCTAGCAGGCTGGCCCATGGCACACTGACAGTGTTATTTTCTTATACTAAAAACTACATGTACATTATTTACAATAACTTCCCAATATCTATCATCTATATTAGACAGTGGGCTTCTACTCTAAACCAATCCAAAAATGCCACCATCACCTGTCACTGCAACCAAACAACACGAGCACACACACGGCTGCTCTCAAGGTAAAAAAGGGAAGTTTATTTCCTGACTCCAACATTTATAGATTCCCAAAAGTGACAGCGGATTGGAGGGTGACAGTGCCACCTCTCCAATGACACTGCACAAACCTTCTGCTCAGTCTTAGCTCCACAGCTTTGCCTGGCCCACCACATCTGACATTTCTGGAGAGAAATGCACTCTCCAGGGAAATTCCCTTTGTGTCCACAGCTTCTGCTGTTGTCCAATTACCTAAGAAAGATTTTGCTATTTTATCTCTCAAATACTGGCCTAGAAAGCAAATCAAATTTCAATTTGCATAGTTCTGTCTCAGCCAGGAGGGCTGGTCTGCGTCAGAAAATATAATAGAAAAAGTGTCTGTAGGTATATATATATATATATATATATAT